AGCAATTCTCCTGCCTCAGCTTCCTGAGTAGCTGGAACTACAAGCATGTGTCACCACGCCTGGCTAATTGTTGTATTTTTAGTAGAGATGGGGTTTTGCCATGTTGGCCAGGCTGGTCTCAAACTCCTGACCTCAGGTGATCAGCCTGCCTCGGCCTCCTAAAGTGCTGGGATTACAGGCATGAGCCACTGTGCCGAGCTGAGAAATGATTTTAAATAGGTGTTTAGTATTCTAACATAAGAATGTACATGTAATTTATGGTCTATGATTAATAATTTATGCTTTTCCAGCCTCCAATAGCTGGATATTTTGATTGTTTCTAATTTTCATAATTATAAATAATATTTTGGTGACTGTCCTTAACCATAAGTCTGTGAGGTCTCTTATTGGGTCAATGGGTATGAACATTTTAAAAGCTATTAATACTCCATGTCGGGTTGTTCACCAGAAAGATTCGACCTGTTTATACACAGTTCCGCCAGCACAGTCTACCATCATTGGACATTATCATCAAATACAACTTTTGAGTAACCACGTTAATGTATCACACAATTAAAAAAAGATCAAGGTTGGGGGCAAATTCGTAAAATGGAATGCAAACAAAAATAAATGAACCGAACTATATTTCATGTTAATAACAATACTACACTGAAGGGTAGAATTGGGAGGGGGAAGAACTAACCCAGGTAGGTAACTTGAACACAGTATTTTAATATATATCCTCTGGCAGTAAAGAACCTTAAATACATACTAATTGGTAGAGTTGTTTTCCTACAGTGCTATGGATTAGGAATTCTGAAATTATTTTTAGTACATATTCTAGTACACAGCAAATAAATAAATAAATTGTGAATAATAGGAGCCAGGTTTCTCTCTACTGGCAAAGGACATCATACGTATGGAAAAATGGAAGGTTAGAATGAACGAACTCTGTGGTGTCAGGCTGGACTGGAATTAGAAATGTCAGTATGGACTCATGTTTTAGTTGTACTGTGGCTACTTATGAAAATGTGCTTGATTTTTGGGAATATACTCTGAGGTATTTTGGAGTGCGGGACATCATGTTTGCAATTTACTTTTTTTTGGAGACAGTCTTGCTCTGTTGCCCAGGCTGGAGTGCAGTGACGTGATCTCAGCTCACTGCAACCTCCGCTTCCTGGGTTCAAGCGATGCTCCTGCCTCAGCCTCCCAAGTAGCTGGGATTAGACATGCAACGCCACGCCCCACTAATTTTTGTATTTTTAGTAGAGATGGGGTTTCACTATTTTGGCCTGGCTGGTCTCAAACTCCTGACCTCAAGTGATCAACCCACCTCAGCCTCCCAAAGTGTTGGGATTACAGGTGTGAGCCACCAGCCCAGCCTGCAATTTACTCTCAAATAGTTCAGGAAAAAAATGCGCATTTACATATGGAGACGGAGATGAAGACACAGAATGAGATTGATAAAGAAATGAGGTAAAATGTTAAGTACTGGGGAATCTGGGTGAAAAGAATGTAGGGATTCTTTATACTATTTTTGCCACTTTTCTGTTAGCTTGAAATTATTTCAAAATAATGTTTGGCCAAATTAGCAGCTAAGAAAAAATTATTAGAGTGGTTTTCATTTTACTTCATTCGTGTGTTCAGTAAAGTTGAACACATGGATGTTAATGGACCATTCGGGTTATATGGTTCATATTTTTTGCTCATTTTTATGTCATGGTGTTTATCTTTTCTGTGTTGATTTGTAAAAGCTATTTTTAAACCCTTCATCTGCCATATATGTTACATTTCTTTCCTGCTTTCTGCCACCTTCTAATGTTATTACCAACTTTCTTTTCCAACCTTGGACCACTGGCATATTCACTCATTTCTAAACATTAGAACTTGTAGTGCTCTTTGAAATGTAGCCAGCCTATGGTTCATTCTGCAACTGCATATTAGTTAACAGGCAAAAATATCTTAGTAAGGGAGAGTGTCTTTTTCTTCTAATGAAAAAAAAAAAAAAAAACAACAACAAAATCTAACCCGCCCCCACCACGCACTAAGGTGTTTGTTTATTTTTTTGAACAGGGTCTCACTCTGTTGCCCGGGTTGCGGTAATGTGAATCACGGCTCACTGCAGCCTCGACCTCCCAGGCTCAATCCATCCTTCCCCCTCAGCCTCCCGAGTAGCTGTAGTTGAGACTACAGGCATGTGTCACTACACCTGGCCTTTTTTTTTTTTTTTCAGAGACCGGGCATGGTGGCGGGCGCCTGTACTCCCAGCTACTTGCGAGGCTGACGCAGGAGAACGGCATGAACCCAGGAGGCGGAGCTTGCAGTGAGCCGAGATAGTGCCACTGCACTCCAGCCTGGGCGACAGAGCGAGACCGCGTCTCAAAAAAAAAAAAAAAAAAAAAAAAAAGAAAGAAAGAAATTAGCCGGGAGTGGTGGTGCGTGCCTGTAATCCCAGCTACTCGGGAGACTGAGGCATGAGAATCGCTTGAACCCAGGAGGCAGAGGTTGCAGTGAGCCGAGATCCCACCACTGCACTCCAGCCTGGGTGACAGAGCGAGACTTCGTGTCAAATAATAATAATAATAAAGATGAGCTGTAATTGTCTCCGTTTTACAAACGAATGAAGAGATGAAAAAGAGGTCAAGTTAACTGGCACAAGTCCCACGCTAGTAATTGAGGGTTTTGGGATTCAAGCACAGACCAACCACCTTTGCCCCTACGCTATGCTACCTCAGGCAGTCGGGAGATAGGCGCCCAGTCAAAAGGCACATGTAAGAAAAACTGAAGCAGGAGTGGTGCGTCAGTATTCTCAATTTCAAACTTTGAGAACAGTCATGTCCTCTAAGGAGAGCCAACAAGGGGTTACAAGTGCTGAAGTCATCAAGAACATGTGTCTGTCTTTACTTGAGACTGGGAAGGAAAATTAGGAGGAGGAAAATCCAGACAATGGTAAAATGGCCTGACTTGAATAAGAACTGAGACAGGGCTCGGTGGCTCGCATCTGTAATTCTAGCACCGTGGGAGACCGAGGCGGGCGGATCACCTGAGTTCACGAGTTCGAGACCATCCTGGGCAAGTGTGAAAATCCGTCTTTATTGGTGGGGGGCAGGGAGGGAAAGTCAGGCACGGTGGCCCATGCCTGTAATCCCAGCACTTTGGGAGGCAAAGGCGGGCGGATCACTTGAGGTCAGGAGTTCGAGACCAGCCTGGCCAACATGGTGAAACCCCGTCTCTACTAAAAATACAAAAATTAGCAGGACGTGATAGCGGGCACCTGTAGTTCCAGCTACTGGGGAGGCTGAGGCAGGAGAATCGCTTGAACCCAGGAAGCAAGAGTTGCAGTGAGCCTAGATTGTGCCACTGCACTCCAGCTTGAGCGACAGAGCGAGACAACGTCTCCAAAAAACAAAAACAAAAACAAAAACAAAAAAAGTCAGAAAAAAGAAAAAGAAAATGGCGAGGCCCAGAGAGACTGAACTTCCCACCCGAAGCCACAGAGCTAGCTCAGCCCTAATGCCGGCCCCGCGGTGCCTTTCCGAACTCACGGCCTCCCCTCGGTATCCGGGTTTCGGCCCTGGAGCGCCAGGAACGCCACGAGGACGCACCCCACACTTGCGCGTCTAGGTTCCAGCCCCCGCGGCTCCCAACAAAAAAAGAAGGGAAAGTCCTGCGGGTGACGGCCCCGGGGAACGCCGCGGCTCTACGTCAACCTGTGGCGGCCACCGACTCATTTGAGGCCACGCTGGTTGCATTCGTCACGCCGGGGACGTCTCTCAAACCCTTCCATACCGGCGACACGGGCGCGTCTGTGTCTCTCGATAACTGGGTCGCGGAGCCCCCGCGAGGGCAGGCGAGGAACTGGCGACTGTGGGGACGAACAGCTGGGGCTTGTAGTCCCCTCGCGACCCTCTAATCTGGAAGAGGCCGGGAGCGGCCGCTGACCTCCTGCTCTGCGCCTGCCCAGGCGTCCGCGCGCTCAGCGGCGTGGCGCGGCGCAGGCGTGTCGTGAGTGGGGCGGGGCCCACAGGGCGCCAGTGGGCGTGGCGTAGTGCGAAGAGACGCTGTGCGCCAGCGCGTGAGGGCTGCCGCGGGTGGGTTGTGTCGAGGCCTGTTGAGTTAGGGCGGTTCGCGGGTGCTGTCAGAGTTGGCCTGGGGCCCCTAGGCAGGGCAGTCGGGTCGTAGAGGCGGGGGCCAGTCGCGGTCAGTGGAGAGGGATGAGGATGTAGGAGGGGCGGACGTAGCGGAAGCCGGGGGACCGCTGGGGCGGAGTGCCTCTAGGGCGCAAGGGAGGCCTTTCCCGTGGCTCCTGGGGAAGAAGTGGCGAAGCGAGAGTCCCCGGGGAACCCCCACTCCACCCCCTGCCGGAGACTGGGTTGTGCCTGCACAGACCAGAGCCCACAGTGCAAGTTGCTATAGGCCACCAGCCAGGGTGGCCAACTCCTCCCGGTTTGCCTGGGATGTTCTGGTTTTGGGACCAAAGCATCCCAGGCCTCCAGCCCACTGCAGTGACCGAATTCTCCGCCCCCTGCCTGTCTTCTCCCGCAGCTTCCCTAGATTAAGCTTGGGAGGCAAGAGGAGGCCTCCTGACCTTTCATACTGCCTTTTTAATATTAAGATGAAGGCACACTCCACAACTTTTTTCCGGCCAGGCCCAGACATGTCCGTCCTTGTAAGATAAAAGCTTCCGTGGGAGCCTTCCTTCTTAATCAAGGTAGGTAGACTACAGGAAGGTACATCTTGTTTTGTATTTTGTCCTGTAGAAGTCAGATTTCCGCCCAGTTGTGTGGGAGTGAGGATGAGCCTATGCTTATATCAGAGCTTGAGTGCAGAGACATTTGATCTGGAAATTCAGCCAGCCTCTTCAACCCCAGAATTCAGAGGTTCAATCAGAACAGACATTAGCTTAAGTTTTCCCATCAGTCGTCTATCATTAAACTGGCCAAATCTAGATAATTAGAAAATATGACAGAGGTGATCCGGACAGATGTTCAGTTTTTTCCCCCCTTGTCTAATTCAAAAAGCCTCGTGGCGGAACATCTGACCCTTCAAGAGGAAGGATGAAAGCTCTACATAGGAACACGATGTGAATGGAAGAAACCTGTCATTGTGAGTCTGGCTTTTGATTAGTCATCTGATGTCTTGCCTAATGTGACATGACTTTGAGGCTGTAAACTTCAGTGGCTAAGCTGTAGCTTCTCAGCCTGCAGTTAAATTGCAGAAATGATAGGGCTTACATTAGTTTTGTTTTTATTTGATGTTGAAGATCTTTGAGTCACATTAGAAACGGTGAGTATTTTTCATGTGGCACTAATTAGTTAATTCATAATATTATTTTTTGAGTCTCTATTGCCCAGGCTGGAGTGCAGTGGCACAATCACGGCTCACTGCAGCCTCGACCTCCTGGGCTCAGATGATCCTCCCACCTTACCTCGCAAGTAGCTGGGACTACAAGTGCACACCACCACGCCCGGCTAGTTTTTTTGTAGATGTGGGGTTTTGCCATGATGTCCAGGCTGATTTCAGACTCCTAGGCTCAAGCAGTCCTTCTGCCTTGGCCTCTCAGAGTGCTGGGATTATAAGCGTGAGCCACTATGCCAGGCCAATATTATTATTCCCCAAAAGAAGGAAATAGGGTGTGAGGTCCTGCTCCTGTGGTCACCATGAGGTTTTTTTGTTTGTTTGTTTTGGACTCTTGCCCAGGCTGGAGTGCAGTGGCACAATCATGGCTCACTGCAACCTCAGCCTCCCTGGTAGCTAGGACCACAGGTGTGCACCACTATGCCCAGGGAATTTTTAAACTTTTTGTAGAGATAGGGTCTTACTGTGTTACCCGAGCTGTTCTCAAACTCCTGGCTTCAAGCAATCCTCCTATCCCAAAGTGCTGAAGTTACAGGCATGAGCCACCACACCTGGCCACCACTAGTTTTTGTAATGGGAGCAGGTTCCTTATGAGATAGAGGAATGGATTTCATGATTGTCTTTTTAATTTCTTAGCTCCCCAAGAAATTGATTGGACATGAGGAAACCACTCTTAAATGTGACCACTCTAAAGCATTATCAGTCAGTCATTTCACTCTAGGGAGAAATCAGAGCTGTATATGGAGGTTAGGTAAAGTCCCCAATATGGATATGCATTTTTATATTTGACTACTTGTGTTTTTTTGTTAGATGCAAATAATACGACACTCTGAACAGACCCTAAAAACAGCTCTCATCTCAAAGAACCCAGTGCTTGTGTCACAGTATGAGAAATTAGATGCTGGGGAACAGCGTTTAATGAATGAAGCCTTCCAGCCAGCCAGTGATCTCTTTGGGCCGATTACCTTGCATTCTCCATCAGATTGGATCACCTCCCACCCTGAGGCCCCCCAAGACTTTGAACAGTTCTTCAGTGATCCTTACAGAAAGACACCCTCTCCAGACAAACGCAGCATTTATATACAGGCCATTGGTAAATACTGGTAATGTGCTGGTTTTGGTTCGGTTTTGCGATGGCGCTGTTGTCAGGAATAGTCCGGGCTATTGGTCTGATTCAGATGGGCCGTTTTAGGATCATTTTTGATATCATTGCAATGGTACAAGTTTTGTAGCCAAACTGACTTAAAAGATAACATTTTATTTGTTTTTAATTCATAGCAACACCAATGAATGATAAAGGTGTATTGAAAATTTAGTTGGTTTTGTTTCTAATTTGAATCCTCTTACTCATAGACTGGGTAAACACTGAATAATCATCTTAAAGTCTGTTTTTAAATGTTCTTCCATATTATAGGCTCTCTAGGAAACACCAGAATTATCAGTGAAGAATATATTAAATGGCTCACGGGCTACTGTAAAGCATATTTCTATGGCTTGAGAGTAAAACTCCTAGAACCAGTTCCTGTTTCCGCAACAAGGTGTTCCTTTAGAGTCAATGAGAACACACAAAACCTACAAATTCATGCAGGTGAATTACACAACTTTGCAATTTAAACCGAGTAAAGGAAGCATATGTATATAATATACACTCATACATTTATGTATTTCTTTTTAAATAGGGGACATCCTGAAGTTCTTGAAAAAGAAGAAACCTGAAGATGCCTTCTGTATTGTGGGCATAACAATGATTGATCTTTACCCAAGAGACTCGTGGAATTTTGTCTTTGGACAGGCCTCTCTGACAGATGGTATTCCTTTTTTGGCGTTGTTGTTAGAAGCTTCTTCAACTTGAGAATATTTGAAGATGTTAAAAGAGGGAAAAAAATTCCAACCAAGAATCGTTTTGATATTTAAAACTGTATAGTATTTTCAGTTGAGACATTATGCCATAATGGGAAGCGTGCTGTTGGTAGATTCTGATAATCTGGGTTTCAGTTGGCCGTTCACTATGTACATGACCTTAAAGGTAACAATATCCACATCATGGAGTGATTTGGAGATAATTTACATAAAAGTGCCTATACATAAAAAGTGTGTATAAACCTGGACAACATAGACCACATGTCTACAAAAAAATAAAAATAAAAAAAACTAAATTAGCTGGGTTTGGTGCCATATACCTGTAGTCCTAGCTACTCAGGAGGCTGAGGTGAGAGGATTGCTTGAGCCCAGGAGGTTGAGGCTGCAGTGAGCCATGATCACACCAGTATACTCCAGCCTGGGCAATAAAGTGAGACCCTGTCTCAAAAAAAAAAAAAGTATATATAGGCCTGTCATATAGGCATTCAGCATAACAGCTAGTAAATGTCAGTAATTCAGTAGCAAGGTGAATTAAACCATTTACAGTTTGAGCTATTATTAATGGATGTGAAAATCTTGCTAATTGTTTTTCAGTTCTTTTCATAATCATCTTGCACAGATAGAAGAGCTATAGAGTAAGTGTATACTTCTTTCTCATCCTATGATGTTTGTTTTTTAATTTAAAAAGTCAAAACTTCCATCTTTGATTTGAGATATGTAATAAACCTTGACTCATTAGGAACTCTGCATGGTAATATTGGGGATGGGAAAGGTTCCGGAAACCGGTTATATTTTTAACTTTTTTTTTTTTTGTCGTCTTCCTACTTACCTTCTCCCCTCCCCTTCATTTTTGCTCTTACCTCTCTAACTTCACCCCCAAGAATCCAAGACAGACTTGAAAGGGAAAAGGCCCCCCAAGGGGTGTGGTTTATTAGTGTTCTGGGGATGGGGAGTATGTACAGGGAATATCCTTAGAGTTTATGGTCTGTCTGGATGTTACATTAGCCTTAGGATTTGTGGGGGGTGGTAAACTTTTTGGTACAAATGTTTCTACTAGAGTTGGGGGCTGTAGGGTTATGGAATCTCTTCCCACCTATTCTTTTATTCTTTATTCTCCATTTATGTGAGATTCCTTGTATCCCCCCATGGCCCTACCAACATGCATTCTTGGAGACGTGGGTCACTACTCTGTTACTGACTTTGGTGGTGTGCGGTAGCTTTTTATCATATGTTTTCTCTTTTATTATTAACCTGATAGAGATGGAAACATTGAAAAATAATTTTATCTACCTTTTATTTTTCTTTTGAGACAGGGGCTCCCTCTGTCACCCGGGCTGGAGTGCAGTGGTGTAATCATGGCTCACTGCAATCTCAACCTCCTAGGCTGAAGGGATCCTCCTGCCTCAGCCACCCGAGTAGCTGGTACCACAGGACCACCACACCCGGCTGTTTTTTTTTGTTTGTTTGTTTTTTGTCGAGATGGGATCTCCCTGTGTTGCTCAAGCTCATCTCGAACTCCTGGGCTGAAGCGATCCTCCTGCCTCAGCCTCCCAAAGTGCTTTGATTACAGGTGTGAGTCACCACACCCAGCTAAAAAAAAATTTTAAAACCACATGTTCGTTTATCTAGATATTGCTAGCTGATTTATCTTACATATTTGAGGAGGTCAGGAAACATTTCCCCAAACGGTTTTTACTTTAATTCTTTTTTTTTGTAAGTTTCTTAAATATTACATGACATGAAAGATTGACATAGGAAAGTAGCAGGATTACACAGTGACAGTATCTTAACACAGTGGTCTTGTTTTCTCCAAGTTTACAAAGATTCATATTTTTAAATTGGGACGCATTGACTATAAAAGAAAATAATCTTCTGTTTGCAGGATTATTGGAAGAAAGAAGTGTCCTTGCTGAAAGTATTACTGTAGTGAGATATGCTCACACTTGATTGGCCAGAGGGGGTTACTTGTGATAACATGAATAGATTTAGTGTTTTCTTAACTTCCAGAATGCTTTTTTCCCTAATTTTCTAATATCAGTCTACACTTTCTGGGTAAAGGGAGGCGAATAAGTTGTTTTTGAATCAAATTAGATTGGACAAATCTATGAGTTTATTTTTTTTTTTTTTTTTTTTTTTTTGAGATTTCTGTCGCCAGGGGATGCAGTGCGGATTCATACTGAAGCTCTGTTCCGTTTACCCATTCTCCTGCTCACCCCGATAGCTGGATACAGCACCCCCACCTCGCCGGCTAGTTTTTTATTTTTTAGAGAGGGTTCACCGTGTTAGCAGGATGGTCTTGATCTCCTGACTCGTATCGCCGTCTCGCTCCAAATGCTGATACAGGCTTGCCCCGCCCCCAGTTATTTTCTTTAAAAATGTATTACTTGGCCAGACATGGTGGCTCACGCCTGTAATCCCAGCACTTTGGGAGGCCAAGGCGGGCAGATCACAAGGTCGGGAGATTGAGACCACGGTGAAACCCCGTCTTTACTAAAAATACAAAAAAAAAAATTAGCTGGGCGTGGTGGTGGATGCCTGTAGTCCCCCCTACTCAGGAGGCTGAGGCAGGAGAATGGTGTGAACCCTGGAGGTGGAGCTTGCAGTGAGCCGAGATTGCGCCTCTGCACTCCAGCCTGGGCTACAGAGCAAGACTGTCTCAAAAAAAAAAAAAGTAGTACTTTAAAATAAAAACTGAATGAGAGACATAAATAAAAGTGATCATGTAAACAAGTCGAATTATGAAGCAGTACCCTGTAGAGTGAGTTATGTAGCAAACCGTGTTCTCTGTGCTTGCAGAGATGGTTGATATAACTCTAAATGTAACACAGGAAGTCAGTTACAAGGGTATTTATTCTGGTCACCAGACACTAGTGACATAATAGAGTTGGGCTGTTCTTTAAAAAGGGGGTGGGGCTGGGTCAGGGGAAGGGGTTATTCTGTCTAAAGCCGTGGTTTAAAGCATGGTCTTGAAGACATCAGGGCAGTTGTCTTCAGTCAGTGCTGCGTGAGGGAAGGCCAGCAACCCCTCCAGACACGCGTGTAACAGATCTGTTTAGTGTGTCCTTAAAGAGTGAAATCATGACTGCCTATTGTTCATGTGATTTTTTTTTTTTTTTTGAGATGAAGTCTCGCTCTGTCGTCAGGTTGGAGTGCAATGGTGCGATCTCGGCTCACTGCAACTCTGCCTCCTAGATTCAAGCCATTCTCCCGCCTCAGCCTCCTGAGTAGCTTGGATTACAGGCACCTGCCATCATGCCTGGCTAATTTTTGTATTTTTGTAGAGACAGGGTTTCACCATGTTAGCCAGTCTGGTCTTGAACTCCTGATGTCAGGTGATTTACCTGCCTCGGCCTCCCAAAGTCCTGGGATTACAAGTGTGAGCCACCACGCCCAACCCAAGTGGTTATTTTTTATGATTCCTCTTTGAGTACGTGATTTGGAGTACTTGCTACTTTCAGAAAAAGACTTCTTTTGTGGGAAAAGACTCTCTGAAACTTCAGTTTCTCCAGTATTTCACCTCAAGTCCATTAAGTTTTACAGGGCAAGGCAAAGTGAATAGCAGCAAAAGGTTTTGATAGGGAAATCTGGGGCAAAAGTCTTTCTTTTTGGTGGCAAACCATAAATGTGTCAGATGGTATGGACACAGTGACACAGAGGTGTACTCACTGGCCAGATGGGCCAGCAGGCTCTTCTTTCTTTGGTCTTTCCTCAGGGACCTTACTCTCATTCTGTCGCTGCTTGTCCTCTTTTGTAGGTGTGGGGATATTCAGCTTTGCCAGGTATGGCAGTGATTTTTATAGCATGCGCTATGAAGGCAAAGTGAAGAAACTCAAAAAAACATCTTCAAGTGACTATTCAATTTTCAACAACTATTATATTCCAGAAATAACTAGTGTTTTACTACTTCGATCCTGTAAGGTAAGTTATTAAAAAAATCCAACAGGACGATTCTTTAAAAGAGATCTTAGTTCCGTAAATTGTATATTGTCAGTCCTTAAGGTAATATTATAAATGAGTTTGTATCATTTGTATAATTTTGGTGCATAGTGCTTGACTGAAATGATCAGTAAAACAATTTAAATGGATACCTTAATATTGAAATTTACAGTATCAGTGCCAATTTTTTGTACTACTAGTTACAGGCAGCCTTGGCTGTACCCACATGCTGTTAGTGTAATTCCTGAATTCTGGTGTTACTGGGTGACCTACTTTTTCAAGCTACTGTGGTCATTGGGCAAAGCTGCCTTCCCCAGGCCTTTGGAGGACCTCTGCTTTCTGGCCTCTCTGGGAGCATGGGCCTTCCTGCCCTGGGCTCCAGGCTACCCTTGACTGTAGTTGTCCTGGCAGTTCCTGATATCCCCAGCTCGCTTTTGTGGAAAGCCTATCTCCCCTTTTTCCATAGCCAGAGAGATGAGCTTTTCCTTCAGCTAGAGAAATTCTGCTTTCACCTGTACTATTTGTTGGGGTTTGAGAGCTACGCCTCTTAGAACTACCCCCTGTGTCATTGCCACCTGATGTTCTCATTAGCATGCACATCAAGCCCCCTTTCTCCCAGACCTACTGAAATCAGCATCTCTAGGGGAAGGGCCCCAGAATCTGAATTACGAGTACCCTAGTCTAGATTAAGGGTTCTCAACCAGGGGTGATTTTGCCATCCAGGGAATATAAGCAATGTCTGGAGACATTTTTGATTTTCACCATCAGGGAGGGAGTTCTGTTGGCATCTAGTGGGTAGAGCCAGGGATGCTGCAAAGTATTGTGCAGGGCACAGGACAGCCTCCCACAACCTGGTATTGTCGGTCCAACATGTCAGCGGTGTTGAGGTTGAGGAAGTCTATAGCAGAAAGGCAGTAAGACATTTGGGGAGATGAGGGATTATTAAGTCTTTGAAGGTCTGGACGGGGTGAAGTTTCGGTGATAATACTAAGGGAGTTGATTCCTGTGTTTCCTGGAAAAGCAAGAAAAAGAAGAGACATGTAGCTTAATGTGATGGTGGTCTTATAAAGCCTCAACATGATTGTCTTGCAGACTTTAACCCATGAGATCGGACACATATTTGGACTGCGACACTGCCAGTGGCTGGCATGCCTAATGCAAGGCTCCAACCACTTGGAAGAAGCTGACCGGCGCCCTCTAAACCTTTGCCCTATCTGTTTGCGCAAGTTGCAGTGTGCTGTTGGCTTCAGCATTGTAGAAAGATACAAAGTAAGTTGCGGGGTGGACAGTGTAAAGAGGGGAAAGTGGTTATCTGAGTAGCAAACTGACATTTCTATTATATCCTTCTCTAGAGTTATAATTTATCAGAGGAAATTAGTGTAAAGATAAGCAGGAAGCTGTGGTTTAAAAACATGCGAAGAAATGCCCTTCTTAAAAACTTCAGCTTGCCTTTGAGTGATTTATGCTTACAGTTCTATGCGAAATAGTAGAAGTTTCCCTGCTTCTCTTCCATTTAGGGCAAGAGAGTTTGACTTTGCAGAACAGAATAAATATTGATATGTGTGGCAAAGGGCAAGAGAGTTTGACTTTGCAGAACAGAATAAATATTGATATGTGTGGCAAAGTTCATTTTTTTTTTTGAGACGGAGTCTCTCTCTGTTGCCCAGGCTGGAGTGCAGTGGCACAATCTCGGCTCACTGCAAGCTCTGCCTCCTGGCTTCACGCCATTCTCCTGCCTCAGCCTCCCGAGTAGCCGGGACTACAGGCGCCCGCCACCACGCCTGGCTAATTTTTTGTATTTTGTTTAGTAGAGATGGGGTTTCACCGTGTTAGCCAGGATGATCTCGATCTCCTGACCTTGTGATCTGCCCGCCTCGGCCTCCCAAAGTGCTGGGATTACGGGCGTGAGCCACCACGCCCGGCCAAAGTTCATTTTTTAAACCCTATAAGTGTGTGGACAAGATTTATCTTTCCAATATGGGACAGAGGTATGATGTTCATTAGGAGGAAAAAATGATTTTCTTTAAAAAGGAAGAAGGAAAGTACCTAATCTGAGTATGCGTGTGTGTGTGCCCACACATGCCTACAAACATCAATATACATTCATGTGGCTACTCATGGATGTGACTGCGCATTCAGGTGACTGCACAGAAATGTCTACACACGTGTTTTCACACACATATGTCTATCCATCCCTATGTGTACACTTATATATGTATATACGTACATGTCAAATTAATACAATGCCGGCCGGGCGCGGTGGCTCATGCCTGTAATCCCTGCACTTTGGGAGGCAGAGGCGGGCGGATCACGAGGTCAGGAGATTGAGACCATCCTGGCTAACACGGTGAAACCCTGTCTCTACTAAAAATACAAAAAATTAGCTGGGCGTGGTGGCGGGCGCCTGTAGTCCCAGCTACTCGGGAGGCCGAGGCAGGAGAATGGCGTGAACCTGGGAGGTGGAGCTTGTAGTGAGCCGAGATTTCACCACTGCACTCCAGCCTACAGCCTGGGCGACAGAGCAAGACTCCGTCTCAAAAAAAAAAAACCAAAAAATTAATATAATGCCTTGTGGAATATTTAGCAAGTTGAGAAAAAATAACATCCTATCATGCTAGTAACAAAGTGTAAGAATGAGTATATTTCTTTTTCATCTTTTTTCAGTGCATACTTTTGACATCATTTGTAATTCTGTGTATATTTGGTATGCGCCATTTCACTCGGTATATCATAAGCATTATTTCATATTCACACCATCATTATCAAATGCAGCATCTTCGTGGGGTAAGATGTCACTCTGTGATCTAGAGGCCAATGCTCTTCTCTTGCCTGATAGTGTTTTGCTGTGGTTTGTTGAAATGCGCATCTTTCCTGTTTTTCCAGGCACTGGTGAGGTGGATTGATGACGAATCTTCTGGCACACCTGGAGCAACTCCAGAACACAGTCGTGAGGGTAATGGGAATTTACCGAAACCCGTGGAAGCCTTTAAGGAATGGAAAGAGTGGATAATAAAATGCCTGGCTGTTCTCCAAAAATAAGGACCTTCAAATAGGAGTGATTGAAATAAATGACTACTTGCATGTTATGCTTTCATTTGGGTGGGATACTTCATCAGAATAAACTACTGATCTTGTGCTGTGTCAGAGTAACAGACTAGAACCTTCTTTCAGGTACCTGAATTGAAACTGAATAATAAAAACTCTAGAAACTCTTTATCTTCTTATCTTACTGGCCTGGTCTGTGGCAGCAAGCACTTTATTTCCATTCCCCAAATATGTTTATGTCTCCCAAGAAAGCTGGGACTGGTGGTAACGAGCAAGTAAATAACTTGAAAAAGAACGGTAGATATCCCAAGGAACCAACCAACATAATTTCCAGGGGGTGATTTTGTTTTTAGAAGAGCTGCTCCCCTCTGTTAGGCCCAGCCAAGTCACATTTTTGGACGTCTGTGGGCTCTGATCGTCACCACAGCCCTCCTCTTCCGAGAGACTTCCTTACTCTCTGGAGTGCATTACCTCATTTTTTTCTCTTGCTGGTTGTCACCTTATCCCTGAAAGAATGAACAGCTTGTATCAGTTTTTAGCCGCTTAAAATATGACCTCTCAGGAATATTTGTAAGTGAAAATAACAATGGTCCTTACACTACCACAATATTTGGTGGTGGGAGTTCTGTTGCAGTTCTGAGCTATAACATAGTCATTTATTTATGAGGGATCTTACAAATAGTGTGTAATGGTATTTATATTTGTGAGTGTTGCACTTTTTCTATAGATTTAGAGCAACTTTCAGGTTTATTTCAGTAATAATGTCTTTCTCACCTTCTTACGTTGTGAAGTGTTTACTTGAGTCAGGGAGAGAGTTTAATGGGGTTATCTGTCGGGGTGCCATGAATGCTGATGAGGACCTGCAGAGCGTGAACGTCAGCCCCATTGCTATGGGGGTGGAGGTGGAAAACCTCAGACTTGACAAATGACCTCTGCTAGATAGATGTATCTTGGAAATCTAGAAATTACAGTGAATATGGAATGCCAGTGAGCAGACAGCATTTCCCACTTTCCTATCTTACCTTGAGGGTAAGACTTGAGATATATATATATATGTATAAATTTGAAACCTAGATTCTTCATTGTTTGATGTTTGCAGTATGATGTAAGGCACATTTTATATCTGAGTCAGTGGTTTCCCTTGGATTCATTCTCCTACTTGATTGAACCCATTTAAGTCATTTTAGAAAATGGTGATTTGCTATTAAAATTAACTGGAGAGAATACTGAATGCTGAATGAACAAAGTATTGAGCTAATAAAAAGAATTAATAATTTTCTCCTGTCTAAATACTCTTAGAAATTAGTGAATTTGGAATGCTGTTCATTTTTGTCGTAGATCCTGATCCCAGTCACCTGTGGAGTTGGTATCTTTCCGGTCAAGAGGTTTTTCAGGCCTCAGACTTTTAATGGTGAGGGTTAAATAGAAGAATTTGGCGAGGATTACCCGTCCGTTCTTGTTTAGCTTGCTTTTTGAAACACACATTCCCCTGATATGAATAATTTACATTTCAAGCCCTAAGAGGGACAGAAGGACGCGTTACTCCCTCTTGGGAGCGGGAGTGCTAAAATCCAAGCAGGCAGCTGCGGGACCGCTATAGCCGGCCCTGCGCTCGGGCCCTTCCCGGGCAGGAAGCGCGTCGCTGTCCCCGGCTGCGCCCAGGCGGGTGCGGGCGCGCGGGCTCAGCAGCTGCGAACGGCCGGCGCACCGCCTGTTTCCACGCCCGGGGACTTCCCCCGGCGGGGCTCAGAAGTGTGGGGTGGGTCGCTTGGCCTCCCTTGGCGTCAGCGACCCAGGGTAACCTCCTCCACTGCCGCCCGCCGTGCAGGCCTGCCTGGGGGAGAGCCACGGGTGCCGCGCTCTGGGCATGGCCTTGGAAAGTCAGGACCGCCACGGCAGCAGAGCAGTGAGTGGAATCAACTTCCCAGTAGAGTATTTAAAAAATGCTTCATTGAAGAGTTTGAATCTCAGTCACTTTCTAGATTCTGATATCTAGAGTAGCGCCGTCCAATGGAAATATAATACAAGCCACATATGTATGCTGAATTTTTCTAGTAGTCGTATTAGCAAATGCATAAAGAAGCGAGTGGAGTTAATTTTAATAGTATATTCTGTTTAATCCAGTGCATCCAAAATATTATTTCAATCAATATCAATATCAATGCTGAATATTTTATATCCCTTTTTTTTTTTTTTTTGGTACCGTCTTCAAATTCCCGTGTGTATGTTACACTTACAGTACATCTTACTTCCAACTGGGCACATTTTCAAGTGCCCAACAGCCCCATGTGGCTTGTGGCTACTGTATTGGACGGTGCAGCTCTAGACCAGTACCCAACTCTAGTGTACCTGGAAAAATGTACCCATGATACTGAGTTGCTAGGAGAGGAAGGCTTATTTCAGGAAAAGGTCATGCAAGTCTTCTGTGGGTACAGCCAGTGCTGACATTCAAGCTGAAAGGGCATAGACACTGTAAAGGCCTCTGGCTTTGCTATTAACTTGTTTCTTTAAAAGCTTGATACTATTCTCTGTTGCAGCTTGTTTCTTACCCTCCCCCCTTCATTTTCAAGGGCCTGGTATTGTCTTCAAATGCATTTCCATTTTTGGAAAGCAGAGTCGTAAAGCATTAATAATGTGGAGATTGTTTAGTCCATTTCATGCATGAGGACGCAAGCCTGCAGCAAGCCGAGTAAACTTGCTTGTTGTTTAACCAATGGCAAAAATGGGATCAGATCCCAAGTCTCCCTAATGTTGAATTATTTGTTGTTTTCACTGTGCTACATGACCTCATTGAAGTAAAATATCACCAGCCAGAACCTAACCATTTTCCCCCCAGATTGTTTACAAGGGGTTATACACGATTGAACTTTCAATTTCTTTTCTGTTCAAGTAGAGCCATCTGGGATCGCTCAAAGTTGGAGAAATCAGTCTATGTACTTCTGCCTTAGTGCCAAAAAAAGAGACGTGCAATATTTATTTATTTTTGAAATAGGGTCTTGCTCTGTTGCCCAGGCTGGAGTGCAGTGGCATGATCACGGCTCACTGGAGCCTCGACCTCCCGGGCTCAAGTGATCCCTCCACCTCAGCCTCTTAAGTAGCTGGGATTACAGGTGTGCACCACCATGCCCAGTGTATTTTTATTTTATTTTATTTTTTAGAGTTGGGGTTTTTTTCCACATTGCCCAGGCTGGTCTGGAACTCCTGAGCTCAAGCAATCTGCCTGCCTTGGCCTCCCAAAGTGCTGGGATTACTGATGTGAGCCACCATGCCCAGCCAATAGTTGCAATATTTAGTAAAGCTCTTGTGACTAGTTGAGGCATTAAAAGAAAGCATTATGGAAAAAAAAAAAAGTCTACTGGAAAATAGTTAAAATCTATTGGGGCAATATGTTCAAACTCACAGACCTCCATACTTAACCCAGTATTGATTTCATCCCACTCTTTTCTTTAGTGTCGGCTCATGGATCAGTTTTTTCTTCTTTACAGCTGACCCACCTGTATAGTACACTACTGCTGGGCAGTCTGAGACCCATCCAGCCTCGGACGCTGAACCGGTGGGTTCTGAGCATGATGCTTTCAGTGTCCTGTGGTTCTCCAGCTGTTTCATAGCAGCACAGACTCTCCTGAGCTGTAACTGTCAATAGATACCATTTTTTTCTCTTGTGTGACTAAAGGGAAAAAAAGTCTGTAACTCATTCATTCATTCATGTATTTTTTCATTCAACAATATTCATGGAGCACCCCCTACTGGGTGCCAGGCCCTGCTCAGAGCCTTGGGAATATAGCAATGAACAAAGAACTCCTACCCTAATACACTAGTGGATGAGACAGAGAGTCAAGGAATAAACAGATGCTTTATTTTATTTTATTTATTTTTTTGAGATAGAGTCTTGCCGTGTCACCCACGCTGGAGTGCAGTGGTGTGATCTTGGTTCACTATATCCTCTGCCTCCTGGGCTCAAGTGGTCCTCCCACCTCCGCTTCCCAAGTAGCTGAGACTACAGGCACGTGCCACCACGCCTGACTAATTTTTGTATCTTGTAGAGAGGGGTTTTACCATGTTGACCAGGCTGGTCTCAAACTCCTGGGCTCAAGCAATCTGCCCACCTTAGCCTCTCAAAGTGGATGCTGTTATAACCTAATGTCAAAGTAAACGGATAGAAACAAGTACCATTCTGAACAGGATAGACAGGAATGCCTCCTTAGGGAGGTGGCATTTGGAAGTGATCAAACTGAAGGGTCACATTGCATACACATCTCAGGGAAGGGAGTACCAAGCAAAGGGAACCACAAATGCTAAGGCCTGAAGCTTGCAACAATAAGAACAATTCCAGAAACAGTAAGAGAAGCTGGGCGTGGTGGCTCACACCTGTAATCCCAGCACTTTGGGAGGCCGAAGCAGGTAGATCACCTGAGGTCAGGAGTTCGAGACCAGCCTGGTAAACATGGCGAAACCCCATCTCTACTAAAAATACAAAAAAAAAAAAAAAAAAAAAAAATTAGCAGGTGTGGTGGCGGGTGCCTGTAATCTCAGCTAATCGGGAGACTGAGGCAGGAGAATCGCTTGAACCTGAAGGCAGAGGTTTCACTGAGGTGAGACTGTGCCATTGTACTCCAGCCTGGGTAACAAGAGGAAAACTCTATCTAAAAAAAAAAAAAAAAAAAAAAAGGAAGGGCCGGGCGCGGTGTCTCACGCCTGAATTCCCAGCACTTTGGGAGGCCAAGGTGGCAGATCATGATGTCAGGAAATCAAGACCATCCTGGCTAACACGGTGAAACCCCATGTCTACTAACAATACAAAAATTAGCCGGGTGTGGTAGTGGGCACCTGTAGTCCCAGCTACTTGGGAGACTGAGGCAGGAGAATCACTTGAACCTGGGAGGCGGAGGTTGCAATGAGCCTAGATCGCACCACTGCATTCCAGCCTGGGCAATAGAGCGAGACTCCCCGCCAAAAAAAAAAAAAAAAAAAAAAAGGGCCAGTGAGGCTAGTGTAGCAGGAGCAGAGGGAAAAGGAATAGCATCCATTAGGCAGTTCACGCAGGGCCCACGGCTAAGGATTTATATCAGACTTGTGCTGTAAGAGGATTACTCTGGCTGCTGTATGGAAAATTAAGGTGGGGGTGGCGTGTTGCAAGAGTGGAAGCAGGCAGGCCAGCTAGAAGACTACTGTGATAATCCAGCTAAGATGATATTGGCTTGGATCAAGGGTCCTGGTGCAGTTGGCAGAAGCAGTCAGCTCCTGGATATATTTAGAAAGGAGAGCCGACTGGATGTGTGGAGGAGTGGGTTTGAGGAGGAGGATCCAGAGTTCTGCTGAGGACACTTTAAGTTGAAGATGCCTAGTTTTATATGCATGCCCTGCTGTGCGGGCAGATGTAAATCAGGAGCTCAGGGACAAAGTTGGGACTAAGAATGGGAGGTGCCGGTGCAGAGAAGGTGTTTAAAGTTTTGGTCGAATTCTAGGGTGTATAAGTTGTTAGGGAAGTGAGTGTGCTTGTTCTTGAGTTGCTGGAAAGGCGTATAAATGACACAAATACATGGTCACAATATGTATTTTCTCAGTAATATTTGGGGAAATGTTCTGGGCATCAGGTTTCCCGTCTAATTTTCCCTGTAGGAAGCGGATAGTCATTGAAGTAGTTTGATTTGGGTGTGAGTTGTTACATGGAAAGCGAAGTTCTAAGTTCTCTTGCCGCTTTTCTTGTTCTGCACCTTTAGAGAGTCATTACGAGAACTGAACACTAGGGGGACCCAGTTTCCTTACTTATGCAACGGGGGCTGGCCCAGCTCTGGGCTCTGGTCACCCTCACTTAGGACACATGCAATATAAACACAAATCTGAAAACAAGGGCAGCGTCTCTTTTCTCAATGCAATGTGTACTTATAGCAGTGATCATTTTTGCGTGTAACGTGTCTGAATTCCTTAAATAGGTCATTTTAAGTAATGTGCATAACCTTTAAAATTTTTCTTTTCTTTTTTTTTTTTTTGAGACGGAGTCTCGCTCTGTCGCCCAGGCTGGAGTGCAGTGGCGCTCACTGCAAGCTCCGCCTCCCGGGTTCACGCCATTCTCCTGCCTCAACCTCCCGAGAAGCTGGGACTACGGGCGCCCGCCACTACGCCCGGCTAATTTTTTTTGTATTTTTAGTAGAGACGGGGTTTCACCGTGTTCGCCAAGATGGTCTTGATCCCCTGACCTCGTGATCCGCCCCCCTCGGCCTCCCAAAGTGCTGGGATTACAGGCATGAGCCACTGCGCCCAGCCAAAATTTTTCTTTTTTGAAACAGGCTCTCACTCTTTACCAAGGCTGTGAGCAGTGGTGCCATCTGGACTCACTGTAGCCTCTGCCCCCTGGGCTCAAGTGATCTTCCCACCTCAGCCTCTCGAGTAGCTGGGACTACAGGCATGAGCCACCATACCTGGCTAATTTTGGTTTCGCCATGTGGCCCAGGCTGGTCTTGAACTCCTGGGCTCAAGCAATTCACTCACCTTGGCTTCCTAAAATGCCGGCATTACAGGGATGAGCCACCACACCTGGCCACTGTTTAAAGATTTAAAGGCAATGGCTTCTAAACTCTCATTCCCTATTTGTGAGGCCCATATTTGCAAACTTTTGAAAATAAGGATCATTATTTCTTTTTTATTTTAATTTTTAATTTTTATGTTTTGAGATGGAGTCTTGCTCTGTCACCAGGCTAGGTTGCAGTGGCGTGATCTCGACTCACTGCAACCTCCACCTCCCAGGTTCAAGTGATTCTCCTGCCTCAGCCCCCCAAGTAGCTGGGATTACAGGCATGCACCAACATGTCCGGCTAATTTTTGTATTTTTAGTAGAGACACGGTTTCACCATGTTGGCTAGGCTGGTCTCAAACTCCTGACCCCAAGTGATCTGCATGCCTCGGCCT